ATTTTAAAATCAAGAGAATTAATGATCCCTAAAAATATGGAATTTTTCTATTTTAAATTGATCTCAATTGTCTAAAAATACCCTTATAGTGAAAATACATGGTATTTTTTAATTATCTTTAATTTAATAATATGTATTAATCACTTTCTTAAAATAAGTAAAATGATTGGCCCACAATCATTCCTACATCCACACAATAATTAGTTAGAATATAATAACCTAAGCCTATATATATATATATATATATATATATATATATATATATATATATATATATATATATGCAATTAAATCACTATTCACAAAACCTTTGTGTGTGACTTTTCTGGTATTTGAAGTGCCACCTATAACCACACCATTAGAATTTGCATCAAATTTATATTTAAGTCAAAATGAAAATACCTCTCGAAAGTTAACCTATAATGATAACATACTTTTAATTTACCCACAAAAAATAGACTTATATTTTGTACCAAAACAACAATATACTTACATTTTGAAAACAAACTCAAAGTACGTTGCTATGACGGATAACAAATGATTGTATTAAGCCATTGCACTATCACTTTTTAGTATGAAGACATTATACTTCAAAAAAATTATCCAGTTATATCAAAGATGAAGATAAACACACACACACATACAGAGAATGAGGTGGTGTAAAATGCTTTTGCAGCTAAATTGTATATTCAACCAAAGCTAAAGCAATCATCTAATAGAGCATTCAATAACCATTACAATCCCCCATGTGACCCTACCACTCCTAAGATAGGAAGTTGCAATTAGTTTACTAAAAAGAAGTCAAAACATAAAAAATGATGATCTTTTCATGTCGGCATTTGTATTCATGGTGGAAAAGTAGTTAATAGTTTAAATTATAATATTGTTTTTGAAAAAATCATTGGATGAAAGTGATGTAAACTAATAGAGAGATATCACATTGAGAGATTTACGTTCATATAATGTTAACAATGAGAAATTTTCATGCCGACATTTGTATTCCTTGATTCAAGTTTTCTTGGTTTCTATAAGGAATCCATTTTTGTAATGTCAATAGCTAACATTCAGATTTACGTTCATATAATGATTTTCTGAAAATATAATCACAATTTAACTTAATGAATAAATTCAATTGTAATAACAATAATGAAGAAAAAAACATAACGAAACAGAAAAAAAAAAGTTCAAAAAACATATTGAAAACACGATTTCATACATGATTCCATATAGTTGATTCATACTATAACAACAAAAAGAATGCAGTGGAGAGGATAATGAAACATGTTATGGATGATGGATGATGGAAGCCGACGGCAGGATGTCGACACAGAGGTTGAAGAAATATTTTTTTTGTGCTCTATATGATACGTGATATTAAGTAGGGTTAATAAGGATAGAACGCATACCCTATTAATATAGGGATGTATCAAAGCAAATTAGGTAGAAAACATATATTTTGAATAATTAAATGAATGGAAGGGATTAAAAATTCAATCCTAAAATAATCAGAATCATACCAAAGTTAATAAGATATTTAGAAGATTTTTCATTTAAATAAATAAAGTTCAGATAATACCAAATTTAATTAGAGTCTTCAAATTTTTTCGAATTATAATTATAATCTTAGAATATTTTCGAATTACAATTACAAGCTTAAAATATTTTCGAATTATAATTAATGTTAAGAAGATTTAAAAAATAAAAAAATATATGTTAATAGTTTAAAAATAAGAATATGCGAATAAATATATTAAAATTCTAAAAATTATATAAAAGGGTAAAATTGGAAAAGAAAATACCAACAACCAAAAAGAAAATCATGAACCCTGCTAGATTTGTACAACTCTTCGACTTCCTACACGGGTCACAACCAATAGACCCACATTCTCACTGCAAATAACAAATCATAAACTCTTCATTTATTTATTTTTTTATAAAAGTTGTGAGACAACAAAATGCCAAACAAGTCAGACAACAAAATGCCAATTCCCTAACAACAAAAGAAAAGACAAGCATATTTGTCTTTTTTTTGTAAAAAACATTTAATTATCTTTAACTAAAAGTTTAAAAGAATTATAATAACAACCTGCCAACCAACACCACGACTTAAAATAGATGGAGGCAAGGCGGTGGTGTAACATCCCGATTCCCAGGTATGAGATTTATTCCTTAAGCATGTTTTTCCATTGGAACACGGCGTGATGGAAGCCTCACCACGGCGTGTTGAAGGACTTTTGGGCTGCGTATTTTTATGGACCAACATGGCGTGTTGGTGAGGGAAACTCGGCGTGTTGGCGGTTGGATGAGAAACCCTAAATTGTATGGTTTTGCACCCTATATAATCTCCTTAAGTCCCTAGGGCTGATCTTTTATCAGCCTCCAAACCCCCATATCGGCCCTTGTGAACCCTAATCATCCTTCCCTCTCATTTGTGAGCTAGTGTGGTATTTTTGGAGCAAAAGAAGAAGAACGTTAGAAGAAGGAAGCAAGGATCTAGCAAGCAAAGCCCTCGTCTTCAGTTTGGCACTCTTCTGGACCTTTATAAGTGTCCAAGATCTGATTTTTATTCCTCTATGTAGCTAGATCTTGAGTTTTTTCCCCTTTTCTCCTTATTCTTGTATGTTGCAATGGATGGATCTCATAAAGTTTGCAACTTTATGAATCTCCATGTCAAGGTGACCTTATAGTGTCTTGGATCTAGTCTTTAGCTGAGTTTTGATGCCATGCATGGAGTTTAGGTCATATTTTCCCCTTTTTGATCCATTTTGGGTTCAAGACATGCATTTTACATGCATGTCTATAAAGCACCAACCTTTGGGTTGATTTTGTTGCTAGAATCTCTTCTAGGAAGGTTGGGTTTCAGATCTCAAGGATTTTGTGCTTATTGGTTAAGCCCTTGAATCTTTAAGCCTTGTACATGGGTTTTTGAACACTTGGAGTAGCCCCAAAGGATAAAGTTGGAAACTTTATCCTTTTTGATAGCATTTGAGTTTAGATCTGAGCCTTGGAGTCCCTGGAATTGTAGGAGCAGCTGAATGTATTAAGCTCGGGCAAACACGGCGTGTTTGCAAGCCAACACGGCGTCTAGGTTGGGGTTTTCCCGGCCATCTGATTGATATGGAAACACGGCATGTTTGTTAGTGCACACGACATGTTAGGTCAACATGGATTGTTGACCTTGACTGTTGACTTTGACTTTGACCATGGTTGACTAAGTTTGACTTTTGAGGGCATTTTGGGTATTTCGGGATTTTGATGGAATTGGTCACTTGTTGGGTGTAGGTTTTGAGTAGAGAGCTGAGATTCGAAGTCAGACCTTATCAGTTATGTTCAACTTGTGAGGTGAGTTTTCCTCACTTTACTTTCGGGTCGAATGCACCAAGGCCATCCCATTGGTTTGATAACATGATATTGTATGTTGGGTATGGAGTAGATATGCATGCTAGTTTTGATATGCTTGTTTGATAGATCTGTAGGAGTACCTATGCTACTGTCTGTTATCTGAATATGATATTATATGTTATATGTCGACATATGGTGTGGGTTGGGTTGAGGTTGTACTGCTCCGTGTTGTAGCCAACAAACCCTGGAGCATACCAGATATGAGATGAGGGTCAGGAAGGGCATGCCAGACTCATATTGAGGGCTCATGAGCATTCCAGATACGAGCTGAGGGTCGGGTAGGGCATGCCAGACTCGTACTGAGGGTTGGGGAGCAAGCCAGACATAAGTTGTGGGCCCAGGGGCAAGCCAGACTTATGCTGTGGGCTCAGGGGTAATCTATTCTATTATTTGTGGACCCATTGTATGTTGTTATTATATTTGTGTTGTATGCTATGTATTGGTATTTTGGGGGAACTCACTAAGCTTTGGGCTTACAGTTTTGGATTATGTTTCAGGTACCTCAGAGGATCGTGGGAAGGCGAAGGTGTGATCGTGCACATCCTCATGTTTTGTTTCATGATTTTGGGATTTCTCTGATGTGTAAACTCGTTTTGAAAACTAGAATGTAAAAAATTATGATTTTTGGTTGGTTGAAAATTTTTAAATTTTCATGAATTTTATGAGTGTTACAGGTGGCACTTGCATACCATGAAACCGCAATGAATCCACCGGTTGACTGAATCAAATAATTGAAACATGTAAATAATATTAATTTTGACTTTTTAATAATTTTAGCAAAAAGGAAGAAAAACAAAAACGGTTAAACGGTCAAACGGTCAAAAGTTTAGATGCGCCAATCGTGCGAACTAATTTTGGTATTTGGACACAAATAGCCTTCACAAAAAGACACTAAATTAGAAATAGCAATGTGGTTTCATTTATTTTTATTGCTTTTAAATAAAATAAAATAAAACAACTCATGCAGAAAAGAACAAACTTCTCAAACCTGCTTTGCTGCTTTTAACATATTCTTGTAAACAATCAACAGCCGACGAAAAAGAGAATGTTTTTGTTACTCAAAAAGATGCAAATAATTAATATCTTTAAATAAAGAAGAAATACAGTGATGAAACAAAAATTGTGAGGTCCAGGCCATGTATCACCTCAACAATCTCAAGGAAACAACTACTATCATCAAATATCATCTGTTGTGAAAATTTATGCATAATTCTAAATTTATATGCCAAAAATATTTTCAACTATTGTGTATGCCAAAAGCGTATGTAAATTTGTATCTCAAGAAGTGAAAATATATGAACCTCTATAATCATGTGACCAGGGCATCGTAGATCTTCAGCAAGCAATTATGGAGCATACTTTCAGATCACCTCCCAATTCAAATGCCCAACTTGCCCCATTTTTACCACCTTTTTCATCAAATGTTATATCATTTGTCTCAATGCTTACCACTCCCTAAAGATCATCCACCCATTAAGATTGTGTGCATTAAATATTTTAAATGTTTTATTATGCAACAACATATGAATACAAAAATATATATAAATATTAATAGACTTACCTCTGGTTGAACACACTGCCTCAACTTGCTAGTACGATCACCAACATTTTTTTAAAAAGAGCATGTGTTTGACTGTTCTATCCAGCAGACCATCAATGCTACACTGCAATTCAAAAGAAATTAGAATATGACATAGAAGGGCAATTTAGTAATTTAAAGATGAAGAAGAACCTTTGCTCCATCTGGAACAAGTTCCCGCAAGTCCTTGAGCCGATCCTGAATCAATTGTCTGTCTCGAGGTCTAGCCTTCTGTTTAGCACCCGGTTTCCCCCTTCGTTTATTGACAATTGACGGTTTTTCCCCTCTACTATTTTCCTTTTCTTCCTCTTTCACTACATCACCTACACCCTCATATGAAATAGCAGAAGGTGAACAACTATCATTATGACTTGTCACCCTGCTAAAAACCCCGGGTACTAAATGGTCATTAAATACTGAACTCTCTCCCTCAAAGTCTCCATTTTCATTTATATTTTTTCTTTTTGTCAAAGAAAAAATGGCCAAATGAATTACTAAGTGAACTTTCACCACTCGTTTGGATACAAGGATTCATATTTCCCAAAAGATTTTCCACATTCTCATTGTAAAAAACCATTCCATTGGCTTTACTTTTACTATCATCACCAATGGAAAGATTCTGGAAAGAATCATTCGCGGACCCCATGAAAGCGGGCTCGAGAGCTGTATGCAGCTCATATTCTTTAGGGAAGCTTAAAAACGGGCCCACATCACTGATTATAAGTCCATTGTGGTTTAACCAGTTGACTTCATCAGAACTCTTGTTGTTGTTCTCCATGAATGATGGGAACTCATTGAAGCTTTGCATCATGAATGATGAGGGAAATTGTGGGTTTGTTGAAAAAGTATCAAAATAACTCATGAAATCTTGATGTGTGAAAATTTTGTTTTTGATGTAGTTGGACATTTGTGCATCCTCAGGAAGTTGGAAGATTCATTGCGGATTAGATCATTAGATCAAAGTGTATAATAAAGTGCCAGCTAGCAGAAATTAACATGACATGAAGGAATGAATGAATACATATGTGTTCTAATGACACGAGTTGTAGAATTCCATGTAGAGTAACAGGCACCAGTAAAATAGTGTGCATGGTAGAAATCAAGAAATTATCAGTAAAAAAAGTCAAGAATTGAAAACACAGTCTAGTCAGTAGTCAATAATGAATACCTTGACACCTGCTGCAAACTGAAATAACCATTCATCTGGATGCTGCCAATGGAAGGGTAAATGGTAAATTACTAAATTTACTTTTGGTAATTCATGACTTGAAGTTTTAAACTCATCTCAGGAACCGGAGTGTTTCCCCTGGTGATTCATGATTTGCATAAATCCAGTGAGAGTTCCTTATATATGCTACATCACCAAAAACCCTACAAGTGGTTCACATTAACTTTCATCACTTAAAATGTTTTGACGTTTTTCAAGGAATTTATGTAATTGCATACAAAAGGGTTATTCTTTGAACAATACATATAAAAAATGGGAGTATGGGACAAAAGAAGACTTACCCTTCACCTAATGCATACTGAAAGGTTGACATGTAAACAAATGCTACTTCAACAACATCTCCACCTGAAGTTCCATTATATGTGTTATGTGAAGATGTTTCTACTAAGTTTCTGAACATTGTCTCAGCAAATAAGTCTTCCATGGAATCTTGAACTTTCATTGTGTCAAAATATCCATCTTCCCACATCAAAAGCCTAAAAATAAAGACATGCATTGTATTATATTGATGAAAAAATAGTGCATACATTCACATGATCAAAACAACATAATGGTAGAATATGGGGACATTGTGATTTACATCGCCTGTCAATATTTTCTTTGACTTTTCCTTTTCGAATTTCAAAAATAATTGTTGCATTAAAAATGATAACAAAGATTAATATTAAAAGAATGATCCATTTTTTTATATAAATCAATTTAGAAGGTTGTTAACCTTGACTATGACATGGGCCAATATGTGTAATAAAAATAAGATATCTTTTTTACGTGTCTGTACGAGTGTATGGACCAGTAAATCCAAAAAAGCTAGTGGAATTTTGTTGTTATCAAAGAAACAAGTGAGTTGTCTCTTCTTTTGGGGGGGGGGGTATTGTTGACCAAAATACCCTTTTTAAATTAGCAAGTGATAGAAAGCGTTAACAAGTCAGAGGTGATATATATATGGAAGGATTTGGTAGGAAAGCAAAGCAATGAGACTTTCCGGTATGTATACCACGAAGGGTTCTGTGGTCTAGGTGGCCACGGCCATGGCTCGTGCACACTAGCCCGGACCTTCGTGGTTCGTCGTGCTCGGTCTTCGTATGTATCACGAATTGAAACGGATGGATTTTATTGGTTGTGGGATAATGACGAATGGGGGAAGAGGAAACATTTTAGCCGTTGAACGGCTACATTTTTTTAAAAAAAAAAATTTTAAACAACTTCTATTTTTACCTATAAATACCACATTTTTACATTAAAGTTTTACACCATTCTTTTCTTTCTCTATACACAATACACACACAACAATTTCATATCAATCAAAAATGGATCCCAACCAAAACACCCCCCCCCCCCCCCTAAAAAAAATTTAGAAATCGCGAACCCGATAACGCCTTTGCGTTAGACACAACCCCTCGCCAATTCCCGACCGTGGAATCACCTCAAGGTGGTTTTGTCAATTTTCTTCAAACCGGTTCCCCTATCAAACAAACAACACTTTTCCAACAACAATATCAACCTTTCCCGGCCTTCCAACAACAATAACTTCAACAATATCAAGATTTCCAACAATTCCAACAAATCCAACAACAACAATTCCAACCACAACCATCACAAACACAACCATCACAACCACAACAATCACAACCACAACCATCACAACCCCCGCCGGATTTTGTTTTGGAAACTCAACCTTCACCGTCACCTCAACCTAAAAAAAAGGAAAAAACGGCCCGACCCAACACCACCCAAGAAAGGGTCCCATGGACAAAAGACGAAGAAGAAAAGCTCGTCGAGGCATGGATTTCGGCTTCCCAAGACCCGATTGAAGGCGATAGTCAAACGCTCGGTTGTTTTTGGGAGAAAGTTTGCGCGGTGTTTTATGAGTTAACGGGAAGTGAAAGTCGAAATCCCGATCAAATTAGCTCCAAGTGGCGCGAATTTCGACTCAAATGCACCGAATTTGGAGGAATTTACAACAACCTCCTAAACATACGAAAAAGCGGGTCAAATGATTTTGATGTTTTCAAGGCGGCTTTGGACCAATTTGAAAGAACAACAGTAACCCGCAAAGCTTTTCCGTATGTGAAACCTTGGCTAAAGTTGAAAGATGCTCCGAAATGGAAAGAGCAAACGGAAGGAAGTTCACAATCTTCCAGTTCAAAGCGTTTAAGAAACCCCGACAGAACGTCTCAACAATCGGACGGCCGAACACATTTCAACATCAACGACGAACCTCTCAATCTTGAAGACGAACAACCTCTTCGTCGGCCCATTGGAAGAAATAAAGCAAAAAAAGCGGCTTCAACGGCTTCGGGGTCTAGTGTTATGGATCAATTTGGAAAGAAATTTGATCGTTATGTGCACGTTCAAGAAACGAAGGCGGAGATGTTGAGTCGGGTAGAACAAAAAATGATAAAAACACAATCGGTGATTCAAACAAAAACCGATATGAAAATCTTGAAAATGAAAGCGGACGACCTCGAAGGCGAAGATTTGGAGCTATTTCTTACGATGAAGTCCGTTCGAGTCCGACATAGAAATAGGGGATAGTTTTTTTTAGTTAAGGTCGTTAGTTTTAGTTTTTTTTATTTCTAATGTTATTTTTATTTTTTTATTTTAATTAAATGTAATTTTTATTTCTAATGTTATTTTTATTTTTTTATTTTAATTAATGTAATTTGTATTTCCAATGTTATTTTTATTTTTTTATTTTAATTAATGTAATTTTTATTTGTAATGTTGTTTTTATTTTTTTTATTTTAATTAATGAAATTTGGTATTTTAAATTAATGAAAACTAGTATTTAAAAAAAAATATATGATTTTTATGTATTTTTTATTTAAATTTAATTAAAAATTTGAGGTGGAGTGGTGTGTTTAGTAGTAGGTATCCCGTGGTTAGTGGTAGGGAGTGTGGTAATGATGTGGCACCCACCACTATAGTGGTTAGTGGTGGGTATAACGGATGACCTGAGTAAGAAATCTCTAGAGGCAAAGCAATGAGTACAAAAGAAATCTCTAGAGACCAAAAGTGCAGCTTGTCAACTACTACAGGGACCACTTTTGATTCACTCAGTAATATAATCACATCTCCACCCCTACCCCATAACACAACTTCGATTTCCCTAAATAAATCACAAACGACATGTAAGCATGTTCAAAACCATGGAATGGAATTGACAAACGAATGGAATTGGAAAAATAAATTCAACATACCTTGGCAATGCTGATTGAAGAAATCCAAATCTCTTTTTGTTGTTAGGTAGCCATACAGCTGCCGCTTGCCACCTGGATAAAACAAAATCTGACGATGATCCCATGCATCTCGGTCAGTACCTACACATCTCAATCAATCAGCTCAGGCTCAGGCATTTTTATGGCATCCGGCATCCAATTAAGTAATTTTATGTAAGATCGATAATCGAAATTGATAATCTTGCTTACAAAAGCACCAGAAGTTGTAGGGCTTGATCTTAAACACTTGAGATACCATATTAGAAAAGTTGTGAATGCCTTTGCTGGGTTTTAGCACCTGTTGTTTAATGAGTTCATGTAGACAATTTGTAACAGCAGAAGACGAACACTCAGGATCGATTCGATGTATATATGAAATTGATTCGCTATATATATGAAATCGATAGGGTTACACGTATCAATTGAAGGAAGGGATTAGGGATTATATCTATTGAGTCCCATGGGATGTCGATATACGCTCTTGGTTGATTGTGTGGAGAGGAAAACCTAGGAATTACAATATGAGGCGTGTGCATATTTTGATCTAGGATGATGTCAGCAAAACGATCGGAATGTGGAGACCAAATGAGTGAAATGTAATCGAGGGCCCTATTTCTTCATTTTAAAATTTAAGGTTCTCTTTTATTAATTATTATAGATTAGAGATTACACATGCTAAGTGTAAAATAACAAGTAAATATCATATTTATTTTATTGTATTCTTCTAAATTTAATCCAACTATATTTTTTTTGAGCCGGCGAAAGATTAAATATATAACAAAAACCAACCTCACCTAGCAAGGTGCTAGAGGGGAAAACATAATACAAAGTTTAAAGGAAAGGAACATTACAGATAATTAAAAAGGTTGTGAAATCCAATCAGACCATATAACTCCACCTCTATCATTCCTATACTTGAACCACATGAATATAGAAGCCTTGATAATGTCAGCGATTTTAATGGCGCACGCCCTTTTGTTGTTGAATAATCTATCGTTCCTCGCCTTCCATATACTCCATATTGTTCCATAGAAAATGGCTAAATTTTTTTTTTCTTTTTTGGACTATTTCCCTAGCTAGATGCGTAATCTAGAACATCAGTTACTGATTGAAAGTTTACCAGTGGGATTTTGGGATTTTGCACAAGGAGAAGACCCATTTCAACATAGTTTTTGCAAAGGCGCATTGTACCAAAACGTGATTGCTTGTTTCATCACCTAGTCCACATTGGCAGCAAGAGTTGGAGGGAAGATTAATACCACGTAAGGATAGTGCCATGACAGTGGGGATTCGTCCCATCTTTGCCCTCCACACGAAACATGTAACTTTGATTGGAACTTCTTTAATCCATGCGAACTCGCCTATATCCTCCTGATTATTTTTACCTTCAAGCACTTTTCTGAGTGTGCTCACCTGGTAAGACCCGTCAGCAGTGAGACTACATATCCATGAAACACCGTTTGAATTTTGTTGTTTCGTTATTACATCTGTGGAAGGAATGCCCGCTTTGACGAGTTCTATTCCTATACCTGCAATATTCTTCCAAGTCCCTACCAGTGATTTCATGGAGTAATAATCATCGGGTTTATTAGTTAAGTTATGTAAACTTGATATGACTTTGGCCCATAATAAGTTGGGCTCCTTTCAAAGCCGCCACCACCATTTCATTATCATAGATGTGTTGAGAGATCTTATGGAACCCACTCCCAAACCTCCGACAGTTTCGCTAGCTATCACTTTGTCACATGAGACCCAATGTATCTTCTTCTCGCATTCGGATCCGCCCCATAAAAATCGCCTTCTCATTTTTTCTAACTTCTTCAGTACCTCAATGGGTGCCACGAAGGGAGACAAGAAGTAGTTTGGGAGATTTCCCAAAACATATTTAATTTGTGTCAAACGCCCTCCAAATGAAAGTGTATTCGTCTTCCATGACGACGATTTCTTTTGAAATATTTCGATTATGGGTTTCCAATGTTTTGTGAGCCTCATGTTGGCACCCACCGGAACCCCAGATATGAGAAGGGTAGGGATGATGGTTTACATCCTAATGATGTCGCCCATCACGACACCTCTTGCGGGCATGCACCTAATCTAACTATATAACAAGAAATATAAAAATACTATGTATCATGCCATTAATAATAAAACATGATTAAAAAAACAAAAAAATATCAATATAAAATTAAAAAGTTATAAAAAACATTACAAAATGAAACTAGAAAAAATTAATAATAATAATAATAACTAGATGGTTTCCCGCGCGTTGCGCGAGACGGAAGGTGTCAGTTTTCTTTTATAGCATTATACTTTCGATGTACAATGTTATAATTAGGAAAACTTTCAGTTATTTCAAAAAATATTTCACGTTTGAACAAATGTTTCCGTCCCTAAAAAAATACATAAATGACAACAATTTCAAAAAATTGCATAATTAGGATTAGTTTTATCTATTTGAAAACCTAATTGTACTGGAATCAACAATATTTAAATCAATCTCATGTACGGTGATTCCAACTCCAAAAGTAACAGTACAACAAAAAACATGTGTACCCAATCCTGCAGTATAATTTTCCAAAATTTGAAAAAAAAGAGAAAAAAAATGGTAATTTATCGTAAAGGAAAGCTATAGTACAGGGGCATATTGGGAATTTTGGTAGCATAGATTAAAAGCAACATTCCACTTATCACTAATGTTGCTAATAACATTGAACAAAACAAAAGGTAAGTTGAACGAAAAAAAATGTAACCAGTGTAAAAAAAACAGAAGAAAAAAAAAATGCAAGTAGAAACCAGTGCAGGGATATTTGAAACTAATAACAATGTACAAAACAATAAGTAATACGTATGGAACATGTAATTAGACGTTTGATATATCAGTAAAAAATACATAGATATGCCACCTAAAGCAAATGGGAAAACATAGGGACAGTTTAGGGGCCTTTTCGGAGATATGGTATACACAATTTAAGGCAGAGCCAAAAAGATGCAACTCGTGAATAAAAAAAAGCAGGAAAAAAAAACTGGATACAAAAAAACAGTACACAGGTATTTGAAGAACAATGTAAAAAAGGCGATATAAAGGGACGTATGACATATACATAAACAAAATATACATTTCACACTTATAGTAATGTGACTTTCTACTTTTCCCTTTCAGGAAAGTTTGATAGCACAATATTGCAAACAATCACATTGAAAAGAAAAGTGTTTTGCATTTTAACCTTACTACAAAAATGCAGTTACCTAGAGTGCCCTTTTAGGAAATTTTTAAAGGTTCTTAGAGGTAGGTATTCCATCGAACACTTGCGGTGTGTTACTCTACCAAAAAAAACGTTACAACTTCAAACAAGAACTTCTTAAACGATTAAATAACAATAAGATTGAAGTTAAACATGAAAGATTGAAAGAAAAAACAATACTCACCATCAGCAAAAAAAAAACGATGTTGATGCCCGTGCTTGCTTACACACCAACTGCAAATGAGAAATAACCCAAATTTAGTTATAGATCTAAACAAATACAAACAAAACCTAAAACTCCATTGAAATTTTATTCATAAATCATGAAAAGATAATAGGCTCCAGTATGATAAAAAAATAAATTTTATTCATAAGTCATGAAAAGGGCAATATGAGAATTCTGCTCTCTAATCATGCAGACCATTAGTAAGCTACCAACAATCTCAGAACTTATGAAACATGGTGTTTTGCAGCAAAATTACCAATTTTGAAAGCAACTCTTGCAAGGCCAAAATCACAAATCTTGGGTTTCCAAACACATTCGCGAATATATTTTCGGTTTTAAATCCCGATCAAAAACATTTGTTGCATAAATATTAAATAAATTCAATATCAATTATCAAGACAGATAAAGATATGAATTCCAGTTATCCCAGATTAAGTCAAAATGAAATGCCATGTAGTTTGTACCATTAAGAAAAATCGACTGTCAAAAGAGCAAAAATAGACACTGTTAGGATTTTGTCGGTTGCATGTAATTTTTTTTATTAATTTGTAATGAATTCATATATTTAAAATACGTACCTCAAGTATCAATAATCTAAATTGAGAAAAGAAATAGATCTATGAATGTACATTCTACATAGATCAACGATGTCCATAAAAAATGTAAAGCCATACCACCTCTTTATCACCTTCAGCAAACCCAAACCCACAGAGTGCCTAATCTTTCTTTTGCCTAACCCTCTCTTTTATCCTGTGAGTCTACACCTCATTCGCCTACTTCTTGCAATCTGTTAATATTCCAAAGATGATGTGTTCAAAAATAAGAAAAATAACAAAAATTAGAAGCACAGATAAACATAGATAAACATAACATCAACACGAACATAATTCTCCTCACTTCCTGATGTGTCATCAACAAATATGGCACAATATTGGTTGACAATATCAAACAGATGCATTCTGTGAAAGTTTACCATCCCTTTTAGGTATTCATAGGCATTTCTCTTATCTAATTCATCAAGAATTCCACATAACCATGACTCTCTGCATCTCAGAAACTGCCCCATTAAAAATATATATATATTCTCATTAATTGGTAGATAATTTGGGATTAAAAAAGGAAAACTTTGTTGTATGAATTATTAAATACCTGTAGGCGTACACTTTTGGTTTCTTGGCTAATGAAAATCCAAGTCAATGCTCCCAATAAAGTAACGGATGTTAGTTGAAAAAAATATTAAACAGTAAGTTTAATCAAGTGAAAAAGGATGAAAGTATGATTAATATACCAAATGGCATAAATAATTAAAGTTAATTTTGAGTTATTTAGATTCCAACTTGTATAGATATGATAAATTCCATTCCTAAAAAAACCAACCACCCCCATATCAGGGATCATATAAGATAATAGAAACATATTACCTTCTTTTTGGGCATTTCCACAAACACCTCATGTGCACTTTCCTTCCACATAGTAACACTTTCTATAACTCAATTTTTTCATGTTGAACATCTTGATATCGTTGATAATAGCTGTTAAAAATGGTACAAGGTCTTGACAAATGTAATAGATAAAAACGAATTAATAATTAGATTGAAAGGTACTGTTGAATTTCGGG